ATGAATTAAAATATCCTCCTTTCTAAATACAGGCTACATGTGCTGTCGTGTCCCGCCACCATAATATGACCGTGCCTGGCAGTTTTCTTTTAGGATTCTTACCAGCGTTTGTAGTCACGCGCCATTTTGGTCCCGCCAATTAGAACGCTCAATTACCTCGGTCCCGCTAAACTCGACCAAAGTAGAGAGAACTACCTCCCGAACCACTTATTGAGCTCGCTCTTGATCACAATGTTTGTTGTATCTTGGACTGGATTCTGGCGGTGAAAGTACTGTTACATCCCGAGCCAGTCTGTCAGTCATCTCGTTACCCTCAATACCGACATGCGCGAGTACCCAAAGGAGATGAGTAGCTCACACTGACTGGGGTAAGAGCTTGAATAGCCGCTCGGCTGCCTGCGAATATAAATATGCCTGTCTGTTAGTAGTTAGTAGATATTTCTTTTTATTTGCATCCTATTTATTTCTTTCCAATTTATCTAGATATATCTATGTCTATGTCTTATGTCTACCTGGAAAATTTAAATGTCTTATAATATGAATTAAGTTTAATTAGAGACAATATAAAATAAAAACGAACCAAAACGAACCATACACTTCCGTGTCCGGTCCAAAATAAACAGAGCTGCCAAATTGTATAGTAAGCAACTTTGGTTGTTCTCAATAAACAACCAAAAACGCGCACGATCTCCCTAGTAAAAAAAAGAATATATTTTGTCTATAAGACTGTTTAGAGGAACAGTCAGCAAAGGCCACATTGCCTTGGTTGTGGGCAACATTCAGAAAAAGAACTCGATTTTTTTGATCAGCTTTGAAAAACTAATAGAGGCAATGTCATTTCAACAGACGCATTAGGCGAGGCAAATTGATTCGATTTATAGTAGAACGTTAGGCCTTGATCGATGGTTTTGGGACAATAAAATTCACACTTAACGGCTTTAGTCTCGGCTGTTTGTCGGCACACGAGGGCGACAAATAACGCACAATAGAAATTGCGGATAATAACAGCCCCAGTTTCAAGTGCCGGAGCCATATTTTATGTTAAATAAGACGTTCGGATGAATATACATTCGGCCCACGCGTGATGTCAGTAGCCGCATTATCCTGGTTAGGAACAGAATAGAGTAGAATTTAGACTTTTTTTGCCTAGTATTAAGCTATAAGATTTATGGGCTTAAAAAATAATATATGTATAATAACACAGTTTCCATTATTAAATGATTTAATTAATCAAGTAAAAAAGGAAGGGAAATTTTATGCCGAGAAATTTGAATTAGGTAAAAAAATTATCGACGATCTAAACGACTCATCTTCTGCCGCTTTTATAAATGAAAACTTATTTTTCTAGACCAATAATGAAAGAAAGTTTAATATTCATAAATACAAATTATTCTTTTGTACCTTAGCACTCACGAAATTGGGGGCTACCAATGTGTTTCTTTGACAGATTCAGTGGTTTTAATAAATCAATTTGAGGTACATTGCAATAAATGTTCGGGCACTGTTGGGGCTGCTGTTTTGCCTTGTTTATTATCAGAACTAAAATAGTGTCCGATAACTTTTTAAATTTTAAATATATGTTTACAGACAAAAGGCACAATTCTCTTTTGCGAAATTTTGAAAAACATTTAGTTATTTGGTTAGAACGCAATATTATTTGAATGCATTATTATTATTGTTCCATTACACTTACATTGTGTATAACCTTTTACTCCTTGCTCCTCTATCACGTAAGGTTTTTTTTATCAACATTAAACAATCTCGATTGATTTAAACAGTTTGATTAATACCAAAGCAAAGTCTCAAACAATAACAAAGTTTATTTACTTTTGCAGAATCTCTCCTCTTTGGCCGAAAATCTTCGTTTAGTTGATTTTCTTGTATTCTCCATGGGCGGATCACCCTTATTTAATGATGCAACCACAGCTTTCAACTAACTCAACTGCCCGATAAAGGGTCTTTCCTTAAGACATGCCGCCATGACCCGACGGAGTAATGTTTTCACTACATATTAGAGAATCCCAAAAACTTTCGGGGATCCCCCGATAACATTCTGTGAAGTTATGCCAAATGTATGCCAGTGGCGTAGCAACTTCAATTTTTGGAATGTCATGTTATGTTCCTATTTTGTGAAATAATAAATATCTCAAAATTAAATCAAAAATGTTGCGTGATAGAAATAAAAAATCACTTATTTTTTATTAGTTTAGTCCCCAAAAATATAAAAAATCTCAACTCACAAACTCTTTGTCGGGCTGTGATTGTCAATTTGCTACATTTCTTTAAAAGCAACATATTGATAACAAATGCTCCAGCTCAAAATATCAGATTAAAGAAACTATAACATTTTGCTCTGACTATATTTTATTAAATATACTCAAATACTAACGAACAAATTAGCAAAACCTATTCAAATAAACTGGTCAACAATGTAGTTTCCGGCTTGAGGTTACCATGTATCCCTCTGTCTAATGTAGACGTTTATAAAAAGAGACAACCAAAACAAGTCTGATCGGATTGATGAACGATTACTTAAATATTATTTAGTGAATATATTTTTGACCGAGTGGTAGGAAATTTAGTAACCTGAGGTTTTGTGAACTAACAGTGGGTTTTGTTTTGGACGAAACTTAATTAAATTTTTTGGTGCCTTCTAAATTAAAGGAATGCATTTGAAAAAGCTGTTATTTTACCACGCTTATTAATTAGACATTTCAAAAACCTTTTCGCTTAAGACATCCAAAAGTGCAAATAAATTACCAAGCAGAAGAAGGGGGGAACACTTCTCCACCTATGAATTTTTTATAAGCAATATTAAACTGGTGTGCACTGCACTTTTCCTCTCTTTTTTATTTTATGTATATCAGCAATATTTGTTTGTGTATTACTTTAATTTTATATTTGTTTTTTCTTATTTCTGTGTTACTGTATAAATAATTAAATATACCTTGCTCCTTGTATGTAAATCTAGCGTACGTAAGCACATAGGTAATTTTATTTATTTTGTTAATTAATAAATTAACAATTGAATGTCGAAAAAAATATTTTTTAAATTTCATTTTAGAGCTAGTGTCCCATAGATATTGTTTCTACGATATTATACTTCACTATTAACAGAGGTGACTATGGCGAGAATGCCAATGCCAAAGTTTATTTCAATTGTTTCGCGTTATAAAATTACTGCCTTTTTTTAAACAGTATTATTGTGTTATTGTGTAACATAAGGTAAGATTTATTATTAACAAATAGTGTCTATCCGTGTAAAAAGTATGTGAGAAAAGATACAATGTTTCAATAATAAAAAGTAAATAATATTTTCTTCATAACCTTGTATTTGGAAAGTTTTATAATTTTATAATTTATTTAAAAAATATATATTTTTTTCGGGAACCATATCAATAGAAAAATACCTCTTGTTTTCTGCTCGGTCTGAAGGCAATTATTTGAAGGAAAAAATTAATTTGCTTTGTGATTTGTTCTAAAGACGCTAAGTTTAGGCTAAATGATGGCAACGAATCTAAATGATGGAACGAAGCAGTGTAAACGTAGCCATTCAGTTTTTGAAAAAAAGTCCAAGACTGTTTAAATGGGTTGAGAGCCCGGAACAAGCAAAGGTGAAGCCTTTCAGCAATCTTGGCAATCGACGTAAAAATCAAAGTATATTGCCATTTTTAAAAACATATTCGACTATTCGATTGAAGTTGCTGCTAGAAAAAATCTCCAGGTTTCCGGCCAGAGAAATTCATCAAAAATACTTCTGAATTTTCGTCCGAAAGAACAACCAAAATCAAAAAGGCAATGCCCTCGCATGATATGAAGCCTGTCAAGTAATCCCCAGGATAAGCTCGTGCTTGTTTTATCGATGCACGATTGATCAAAAATATGCAACATATTGTAATGCAAAAAGGGGCAAAGTCCCAAAATGCTGACATTTAACCGAACTCCTTAAGGCTAAGAATGAATGTTATCCCAATGAAAATGACCTCGCAAAGAATAATGGAAACAAAGAAGGACGTTATATTAAAATTAAAAGTTGAAATGGGAGTGCAGCACACCCCACTCATAAGCAACAATTTAGCGATAACAAAAATCATTAAAAACAGATTTCGTTCCATTTCAAATGACAGCAGAAAATGGCAGCATCGTTTGGTTCTTAATTCACTTCGAGAGCCTACTTTACTGGTATCAGAGCTAGGTCAAAATGATGGAAATATTATTCAGGATGATGATGATGCTGCATCTTAATAGTGACGAGAGAGTATTATTGTTACCTAAATATCTCTAGTAAAATGGTTTTAATATCATTTTATTTATAATTGTTAAATGTTTTAGATTGTTTTTTTTTTGCAATTATTCATGTGTAAACCTTCTGGATATTAATAAGTTCACTTATAAAAAAGTAACGATATGAGTTCGATATAATAAAATGGAAACCAAAAATTAATAACATATTTAGTAAAAAGCATAACATAAAACAAAATATCATTATTCGACGCAAATTACTTTTGTTTTTGAAAATAATTTAAATTATTATCTATTACCGCCTAAATTGCTTAAAATGACCTACGAGCGCTGTGCTTTTCCGAGTTCTTCCGTCGCCCCCGTCGCCTTTCAAACAAATGGCGGGCTCTGGTATCGCCAGTAGCACCCTCGGGCGGCCAACGACTCCTTCCCACCGAATCGATCCCAGTGGCGCCCTCTTAGCGGCGGTTTTCCATTCCGCGCGAATGACCACGTTCGCCCGTCCGATCGATGCCCAAACCACACCACATCGTCGCCGGATTGGTCGGCTCGCCGCGGCTCTCGCGTGCGATTGGTTGTCGCGCCGGGAGCTTTGACAGTCGTGCACACCTAGAAAGGTGTGTAGAGCGTTCCCCACACATGATGGGGCATCGTCGGTAGTCGAGTACGCGGCCGAACACAGTGGAGTAGACGATTTGGCGGTCGAGTGTGTCTACGATACACGCGCGTGGTCTTAATAATAGACTCATTGACTTCGAACGGGGCTTCAATCGACCGAAGATTGTTTAATTGCCTTTGAGTAATTGAATATCGGGTGCCGCAAGCGCGTTCGTTCTGGGACTCCGCGTTTTAATTGTGCGCGTACGGAGAAGAAAGCCGCCGTCGGCGGACAGATGAGGTGATTTTTTTTTCCGGTTCGTTTGGGAATTTTGTTTCGAATAGTAAGTGGACCACCACCACCACCCGCTCCGCGCCTTCATGCCTGACGTCACGCGGGCTATCGGGATTAAGGTACTCCGGGGGTAATATGGCCCACTAAAACTAATTATTCGAAAATATCCACAATAACAGATAAGCCAAACAAATTTTAAACCCCAAATTCACGTCGAAACTTTAAAAATACTCCCTTTAATCTTAATACATTTATCTTAACTGTAATTAAATAATAAACAAAATTAAAAGGTTCATAAAATCAAGAAAAATAATTCGGACAATTGAATTGAGAAAATGTGCTTATAGGAAACTACACATTAATAGTTAATTAATTTGGTTTTCTCGATAAAATAAAGTAGATAGTATACCACCTAACTATGTTGTAATCAACTTTTTATTGGAAAACTAGTTCTGGGCCTTATTATCCGCTGTGCTTTATCACTCTGATTGTACATAGGTACTGCGTAAATAAATATAATTGCAAAAAGTTAGTGCCACTCAAATCAAAATATTAGATAAAATAACAAATTGGTGCCTTCAGAAATCTATTCCGCATCGGTTAAAAATTAAAATTTATGTAAATATAAATTTTTGAATTATATTTTCAAATATGAAAATATTATGGCGTTCTTGTTTTTTGTTAACAATATCAAAAGGGGTATTATACAAATTGAAGTTGGGAGAACATATTTAGAAGTTCTTGCAGTTTTTATAAAAAAGACTGTATTACCATTGGGAATATCAAATTTAAATGTAATTAGGCAGTAAGCAAAAAAATCTTAACGGACTAAATGACAAATGCCAAAGAAAATATTAAAATTTGAAAATTGCAAAAAGTAAGAAAAATGTGTTCCAAAAATTACAAGTACAAATAATGATCAAATTCGAATTAATTTATTTTACAACTGTTGATGTTGATTTGAACTGAATATTGATACTAATTAAATATGAAAACAAATATTAAAGAAATTTTTTGTGTTGTACTTAGTAGCGCGCGAAATGGTGTATGGTTTCTATGGTACGAAACGATTGATTGTTTCAAAATTTGTTAGTTACTTTAAAAATATTGTCAAAATCTTGTTTCATATTAAAAAAATTATTACAGTCAGCCTAATATTTTACTTTGTTAATGACAAGTTCGTACACGTACACGTTATGATTACCTATTGTTCAGGCAACTGCCACAAACTGCTCAAGCAATTGTTACAATTATTGTTTTGCTGGTATAGCCCACATGAACAATAATTTCGTTATCAACTGCGAGATTTACTATAAGAAACAAGATACACTCACCTTCTAGAATTTTAATCGGGTGTGTTAGCGCTAATGGCGTTGTTAGCATTTTTCGTTTTATTGTTACGACTTTCTTCCGAGTCAACGGCACCCTTATTTATTTAATGGAAGCACGACGCTTCAAATCCGGGACCCGATAAATCGAAACCCTTACGCCCCCCTCCCGGACAAAATTTATTACGACCCACATTTCACCGTAACGCCCTCCGCTAAAGAGATAAATTGTTACTAATTAGTAGATAGAGCGGCGACTCTAAACTTCCACGGAGGGTTCTGTTTGCCGTATATATGCGCGCGAGAGAGGAAAGTCAGTCGGCCTTAATTTCATTAACTTTATCAACAACGCAAATCGGAATAACGTGCCGCCGCCGGCGCCACCAGGAATGACGCGCCGCCACAATGCCGGCTGGTGTGCTGAAAACGATTTAAATTGTCAACCCGCTCGGGCACCACAAAGCGGCGACCAATAGCTGCGCTTCCGTTTGATGGTATACCAGGCTACTAATCCCTTAATTCTTTAAAATGTCATTAAATATTTCTCCGCCTAGCCGCGACAGAAATCCGTAACATAACCAATTTTTAAAACGTTAAACACTACGCTGTTTCTGAATTTCTGCATTCGCCAGTCATACTTACACACACGATAACTTTTGCAAGTAAAGGGTTGAAAATCGGCCTCTTTTTATTACTCCGCTTTCCTACAGAAACCTATTGAAAATGGCCGCGATCCGGCATCGGCGCCCGGGTTCCTTGGATAAAACTGGATTGAAGAATTTAATGAATGGGTTGGCATAACTATACATTTTTGGGAATATTTTTAACCAAAACAGCATCAATACATGTACTGCATGACGTGTGACTTGACCGTCAGAACCGACAAACGCCGGAATGCCATAACTAAAATCTACCGATCGCTCCCAAACGGGTGACTAAAGTACTCGAAAGTTACAGGCTTGGGTCGTACAAATCTTTATACGCCATATTGTATATGGTGGCCCGTTTATTATGGGACGATAACATTTCCCACAAACTGTTAAAATTATCAGAGAAACTTAGATACATATTATAGGATATATATAGGGCGTTTGTATTTTCATAACAACGTTCTTATTTTAAATAATTTTTCAATTCTTCGAAAAAGGTGATGTTTTCATACTTATTTCTTATATCTATCGATTTCTGAGATCGAAAGCCTTTGTTATATATACATTGTAATAGTTATATTAGCGCTCTTTATTAATATTTAAAAAATAGATAAACACAGGATGATGAAAAAGAAAAATTTAAATTTTAATGAAAAAATATATTGAAAAAAAAAGTTTTTTTTTCAATATAGAAATACCACCTTTTTACAATTTTTGCATTTAATAAAGGGCGGCTTTGTAACAGGTTTCAATATTTGATAGATTTATGCCACCGGACTTAACTATTTTTTATTGTAATGGTTATTTTAATACCAATAGTAACTAAAGCAAATATATACAACACTTAGAAAAAATTATATAAAAATTTGATCGTTTTTATTGCTATTTCGACATCTACAACTTTTTGAAATATTAAACCTTTTCAAAATTACCCTCTTTTTAAATAGTAAATTATAAAAATGACAAAATTGACTTTTAACTATATTTGTCATTCAAATTTTCAATGTTATATGTTCTATTTATTATCATTATCATTTATCATACGCTCAGTCTACTAATACTACTCAATCGACTGCTTTTTTGAAACTGAACTATTTTAGGTCGTTGACATTTTCTTTTTCTAAATTTTCAGAACCAAGCGCGCAATATGAGGATGAGACGCCAGAAACATTTTTTGATAACTTATATTTTATGTATAACAATTGTTTATATTTAACTGCAAATGCGCAGAAACTATCGTGGAGTAGACGCCGCTATTTGTTTTCAGAAAGTGAGCCGAGTACGTTTCGTCCGTCGGGAGAGACATCATCATTCTCCCCGCACAGCAGATAGGCGCGGCCGTGGCGCCATGGCCATCCGCGATCACATCCGTCGACGATATGGCACACAAAGGTAATGGTAAAGGTACCATATCGAAGAAAACGCCTTTTTTAAGGTTTGAAAATCATCTGCACAATTTGATGCTTTCGTATGTCTATTCGCAATTTGATAGAAATTTCATTTTGAAGCGGAAAAGAGTGGGCAGATACTCGAGGTTCTTATAGTAGTTTTTGGCTTCTAGTAATTTCACAAAATTTTCATTTTTAACTATTAATTGGGGGAATCTATATTTCTATGTGGAGCAAGACCGGATCGGATCGGCGATATAATTAGCTACTTCGCATTTTTTTTTTGTCTTTTCAGTGCATTATTTATTAAAAAATTTAAAACTCTAAATCAGGTCCTAACATCCCAATAAGAAAATTTATTAAGACCGAAACCTACTCGATATATCGTGTCTTAGTTATTAAAAACTAACAACTTAACAATTTATAATTGTTGTGGTTGTGGTCATAGGCAAATTTATTTCTGAAATTCGCGTATTTTTATTTTAATTGCTGGTTCAGAATCACCCTGGATTTTAGTAATATTAGTAACAAAATGGCAGGCCCCCTGCAAAAAAAAAGAATCGTCAATATTTTCGTTATTTACGCCTGTTTGATATAAACGTCCGTAATCAATATGTTTGAGGAATTTCCACAATCTATTTCCTGGCGGCGTGCGTGCCGGGACTGTTAAAAGTTATTCATCGTCTCTGGGAAATAAAGGAAACTGACAAGTGCGAGGAAATTCCCGGAGAAATCAAGAGAAACGCGGCGAAATCCGTTGAAAACGTCAATCATCCGGGCGGCTGATAAAATTTACACGTTTCGGGTTCAGGAAAAAAAAGGGACGCGATTTGCTGACGAGAATTTTGATTTATACGATATATAGACTAAAAGTTTAACATTTTATGTTGATGTGGCATTAAAAGATGAAGGACTGACGGTCGAAGTTATTTGACGAAAGCAAATACGAAAAAGAAACTTCAAACTAATCTGTAGCCGGTCACATAACAAACACTCCATAACTATTGTTCAGTTAAAATCCTTGTTTCAACATATAAAACATCATCGACACAGATTTTTTTATTTAAGTATCTTTAACCGCTTCAGAAATAATTGTTTTTTGAAATAAAACTATTTTTTAGAGAACCCTTTCGAAAGATTTTCAGAAGTAGGCTCTTTAGGACATATATTTATTAACCTAACTAACGTTATTCATTTTATTAATATTCTTTTTACCCTAAAAATTAGCGGAACGATTTTTTTCATACGCCATACGAGGTGTGTTCAAAAAGTAAGGTAACTTTTGTAATTGGGCGGGCTACGTACATTCAATCTTCGATATATTTTTTGTTATGTTGCACGTTTACTTTTAGACATGTTTTCTGTGTTCGGCGATTTTCTGCTGTAAAAAAAATGGAGCCAAGAATTTGCATAAAATTTTGTGTAAAAAACGGAATCCAGTGGCTGCAAAACACTTGAAATGCTGTAAGCGGCATATGGTGAATCTTTCTCGTGCCATGCAATTTTTTCTGAAGTTTTGGGCATGAAACCTGTAGGAGCAAAATTTGTTTCGAAATTACTTAATTTGAACAAAAGAATCGTCGAAAAAGCTTCGCTCAAGAGCTGCTAAACGATGTCAATGATGATCCTGATATGCCCGAAAAGATCATAACTTATATATAACATCATATATGGTTTTCAAGTCCAAACCAAAGCCCAGTCATCCCAATGGAAGAACCCAGGATCAACAAGACCGAAAAAAGCAAGTCAAGCTTTTGCTTACTGTTTTCTTTGATTATCGTGGCGTAGTACATCACGAGTTCTTACCACAAGGTCGTACTGAAGAGCATTACCTTGAAGTTATGCGCCGTTTGCGAGAAACAATACGAAGAAAATGTCCGGAACTGTGGGAAAACAATTCATCGATTTTGCATCACGATAATGCACCTGCTCAATCATCGTTGCTTGTGTTTAAGTTTTTGGCCAAAAACAAAACCGCCATCATGCCTCAGCCAAATTATTCATAGGATAACTGCCCCTGCGACTTTTTCCTGTTCCCAAGACTCAAGAAACCGATGAAAGGAAGGAGGTTTGGAATGATTGAGGAGATTAAGTAAAAATCGCTGGAAGAACTCAAGGCTATACTAGAAAGTGCATACCAAAAGTGCTTCGAGGATTAGAAAAAGCGTTGGCACAAGTATCTGAAGGGGACAACATCAATTTTGATAAATAAATAAATACTTTTTGATAAAACTTAAAAGTCATCTTACTTTTTGAACACACTTCGTGTATTTAAATTACAACATCATACTATTGATTTTTTAAATATTTCTGTTTGTTTAAAATAAAACGTAAAATCATCTGGCAAAAGTTTTATATTTATAAATTGTATTATTAAAAAATGTTTATTAATTATTCAATCCATATAATCGCCAGAAATTCTATGGCTAAATTGTCGAAAATCATTTCTTTTTTGTGAGAAAACTTAAATTTTCTACTTCGAAAATTAAAAAAAAAATCATCAAATCTAGCAAGCGAGTCCGCCATAATGTCTAGATAAGTGTAAATTTACTTGTAAAGTTGTTTCTCGGCAAAACCCTCTATTTGTTTGCCTCGTCTGGGAATTGAATGGACTGCATCCGTTAATAAAGGTCTGAAAACCGCACAAATACGTTTAGGGTACGAATAGACACGTCAAATAATCCCTTGTCGGTCTCCTTGAAAAGCGTAACGAAATGTGATTGAGGAGGACTTTTACTTTTGTTGGCCAGTTGTTGTTGTCTCGTGGTTACCCCATTTGTCGGATGTTTTTAATCTTTGTGGTCCGTTTGTCGCATATTTACCCCGACATCGTAACCGCATATTTAACACCAATGCGATAAATTAAAAAAGGAAGCAGACTAATGAATGCAAAAGAAATTTAAATAAGATGTGGGAAATGAATAATTAAACAAAAACACTCACCTCGACTTATTCAAACAACACTCAACTAAAAACCACGGGTTCAAAATAACTTTGGTAAGTAACTATCAAGAAGTGCACAACTACTATCACTAGCTGTTAGTAACTAGTGCCGTAATCTTCTGGGTGAGGTCGGAAACTTTTCAACTAGCCTTCTGTATTGAATTTTATTGGAACTATTGTCTGTGCGCGTATCTTAAGACGAAGCCAATGGAAAGGATAGAGGCGGACGAGAACCTATAAAAAAACACCGAAATAAATAAAACAAAAATACGACCGAGAGGCTTAAAGAAATCCGATAAGTAGAGAGAAAAAAAAAGGCAAAGAACTTCACGAAATGGCGACGCTGACTTTAAAACGTCGAGCGTGCCTAATGTAAGCACAACAAGCGGAGAAAATGAAGAAAATTGGATGGGACACAAAAGCGGGAATCAATATAAAGTTGCCGACGGCAGTAGTCTTTTTCATACCGTAAATATTCTTAAGTACCGGATACGACACTAGGGACGATTTAGGGCGAGAAGGACCGACCTTTCCGGAGACAATCGCATTGTCACAAGGAGCGTCGTGATGGACTTCATATGAACCCCCGAGCGGCTAGCCAAAAGGAAGAAAAACGAACGGAGCAAAAGGGCGCGAAATCAGCTTTACACGGGCTCGTTACGTCACGGGACACGATGAAGCCTGAAGCTTCGAAGTTGGCTTTGTAGGGGATGTTTTATAGTTATAAAATACCCAGATCGGCAACACATTATACATTGAAGGTTTTGTAGACTCAGTATAAAAACGTATCAGAATGGGTTTTATATTTAAATTAAATATAACAAACATTACCACTACTAGAAAAACAAAAGATATCTTGGCAAAAATGATATTTACTGGTTTAGCTGTTTTACAAAGGATCCTTGGTATACCACATTTTAATAAAATGAAATTACTGTCCCTGTTTCCGCAACACTACATTCTAGCCTGAGACAGATAGGGTGATAATCCTGGTACTATTAACCAACTATTATAAAATATTTAAAAAAAAAATTGTTATGTTAAACTGATCTTCACAGAACACAATATGCAATTTTTGGTTTTTATTATTATCAGATACGGCGCATCAATAACTTTTTCTTTATCTCGCATATACCATCAGGATTCACAGCATTGTACCCATTAGGAGATGACTCTGTAAGATCTAGGTCCATAGGAGCTTTTCATAATATGTTTGTCTCTAGTCTTTCAGTTCACTGTTTGCGCCAAGTTTTTTAATTCCCATATCTGCATTTTCCTAATCGCGTCGTCTTTGCCATGCCACCAAATTCCTTACGTTATCTGTAAAAACTTTTGTCAGTACCAGGTCCCTGGCGGATTACCTAAAGTCAACCAAAGTAACCTATTTTTATAGGCTATGGTACCCCGATAAAGTCAACGTTGGCGTTCTTTATAAAACGCTTACGGGCATTGTGGTTTGAATGGGATCTCAAGACATTCGCCCCACCCAACTCATAGAAACCGTTCGTCGGATTTCGCGATGTACTCCCTCATGCGTGGCTTCAAGTCGATTTATAAAAATCGAGAAGTATTCACCTTTCACGACCAGATTTCATTTGTCACCTTCGAGATATATATATGTACGTACGTATATAAATCGATGAAGGAGGATACCCAGGACTTTTGTTCACGTCGCCGAGCGCCTTCTGCTGATTTATGGGATTTGCAAGCGGATCCTTTTTGTGTCGTTTTTAAAGCGGGGGATATTCCGCGGCGTTGCCGGATTTCCTGGATTTCCCGGAGTGTCTACAAAGTCCACTTGGCTTAGAGTAGCGGAGAGCGGAGTTTTTTGCCAGGGTTATCGCCATCTTCATTTCACTCGTTTCTGTTTGAAAAGAGAACATAATAAAAGTAGCAATGCCGCATAAGGTTTTAAAAATGGCAGAACTACGTGACCGGCTGTATCTGCACAATTAAGATGCTTTTAAATATGAGCGGGAATATATATATATATATATATATATATATATATATATATATATATATATATATATATATATATATATATATATATATATATATATATATATGCGACAAAACAGAACATTCTTTTAAATTGTTTTGTTGTTAGTAGTAGTCTATAGGACATTTTGATATGAGAAAAAATTAGAGTATCGCCTCCACTCCTTGACGAACCCAACAGAAAGAAAATAGTCTTATGAACGGTCAAAATTGATGCGGGATGATATTTTGCGCATGCTTTCAAATTTTACACACTAAACCACACTTTCTAAACAGGGATCTGTACACACTTAACTAGGCGGGCCTGTTGGTTGTTGAACGCTAAGTCTTAAGAGTTGAAAGTATGATTTGAAATTACCGCATATACGCATTGGCTCTATTCGACATTTTTTGTTCATGTAGTCCGCAATATAGTCGCAAAATGACGCGGAAAAACAGCCTAATCGTTAAATTATTCTGACTCTCCTCTACACTAACACGTAATATGTATCGTATGGTTTATATTCTTGTTTCAGGTAACTCGAAGATAATTTGTGCCGCGTCAAACACACTAAACGAGGATTCCCGCGACTGCGGCAGACGTTACATCCGTATTTATTAACACACTTTACAAGGAAACTGCTAAACACCTTAAGGCTCAAACCATAATAACAATTTATCTTAAATTAGTGGAATGTAGTTATTCGACCGAAAGTGTTAATTTTCATTACCAACTTCTGGTTTTATTTGAAACCTTCATATCTGCAGACCCCTGGGGAAAAAATAATAACATTTTATAGGCTGTTAATAAAAATGGACAAACGTTGAATGTAGACCCCAGTGGTTGGAATCCTTGCGTTCGTGCGTGGGTGTTCAGTTGACGAAATCATTCTTTAGCTTGTTACTACACCATATGGTGTGCACAGTTACTTACTAGAAAATGTTACGTGTTGAGCCGGTTGGTCGGATGCTTTGAACTTTTTGCAAGGCTCATGCCAACGCGTTTGCAAAGCAAATCAATCTTATAAAGTCAGTTTTCTGCACAGCAACTAAGCATGTAGAAATTATTTTAGTTTTCAATACGATTATCGGAGATGAAACGGCCTGTGAAGCAACTATCGCTATCGCTATACTAGCGAATGTTTGGAAGCAAAGCAAAATAAAAAAAGCAAGGCTACTAAGAATCCTGAATTTTTAAACATTGTCTATTTCGATTCACAATCGCCTAACAATAATGTAGTATCGATCTCAAAATGAAAGTAGATAATTATATTATGAAGAAAACAACGCTTGTGAGACAAACAACTCGAACCATATATCTGCTATAGATTTAATTAAAAAATGGGAAAATAATATTCCTGTACAGAGTCTATCAAATTCGACAATTTAAAAGGAACCCGCCCCTTTTTTAAAAGGAATGTCAGTACCGTTAAAAAGTGTTTTTGAAAGATGTTCGTTTTAAAAAATAGCTGTATCTTTTTCTATGGAAAATATTCTATCAGCACACAAAAATTCAATTCATCAGATGAAAAAGCTCAATGTCCGATTCTTATTTTATTCCCGACGTCTAACACTGGATAACCATGCTCCAAAACAATCGAAATATATAAAAGGGGGGCGGGGTATCAAGAAAATACTCAATCGTTGGCCAGGGTTCTTCCAAAACTAAGCCGAAGCATCCGACTAGAGGCCGCAACGACATATCTAACTGTGGTGCAACTGTGGACAGGCCATAGCGGTGTGAACCAGCTAGGGGGGGTGTTCGTCAGCGGACGTCCATTGCCCGATTCAACGCGTCAGAAGATCGTCGAACTGGCCCATTCTGGAGCAAGGCCTTGCGACATCTCCCGGATACTCCAAGTCTCCAACGGATGCGTCTCCAAAATTCTCGGCAGGTATATCTTACCGGACGTTGTTTTTACCTACGTTGCGTGGATGGGAGTGAATATATGGGATCATCAACGCTTGCCTCTTCAGGTACTTGATTCCTCTAAAGCGATCGTTTCCTTATTCCCAGGTACTACGAGACGGGGTCCATCAGGCCCCGGGCCATCGGTGGTTCAAAACCACGAGTAGCCACGGCGGAGGTAGTGTCCAAAATTTCATCGTACAAAAGGGAATGCCCATCGATATTCGCGTGGGAGATTCGGGATCGACTTCTGCAGGAGGGAGTCTGCACCAACGACAACATACCGAGCGTAAGTGGGTACTTTTCGATCGTTGGGGTTAACTTTGAAGCAAATTGTTATCACTTGATATACAACATGAGAAATAGGTGAAGAATTTCATTGAAATTGACTAGAAAATGTGCCTTGGAAAGTTTGATCAACCTGTTGCCTTTGGATAATGTATGAAAGGGGGCCAAGTTGCTATAAATTTTGTTAATATTAAGCTCATTTTGACTTCAGTGTCATCAAAATCAATTACAGATAAAGTGGAGTTTAAATAATTTCTTTATCGATTTCGTCAAAAATCTATCTTAGAGCAGCTGCTGTTCAATTCAGAAAGTGAGGTGGTGTAAAGAGCAATTTTTGAGTGGTTCCCTGGTAAAGACTTCCATCGTAGTAGATTCCATTGAAAGCAGCAAACTTGTATGTAATTCCTCCAAGTGAATTAAAAATCTTACCTAAAAGTGCGGTAAACATGATCACAGGGCCAAATCGTTCTTCCATTATTAATCTTGAAAAAGTTCTTTCTAACTGCAGAGAGCAAAGATGACAAGTTCTGCTTGAGAATATGGATCTAGAGGCTATTTTCTTCATTGGTTGCTGAGTGAATATCAAATTGACTATTCTTCTTACTGTTACCGTCGCTATGCTTAAAGATGGGTTGGAGGGTTGAAAGTCTTCGATTTCGACGGTACGTCTGCCATCTGCTCAGCGGTCTCTATTAAAATCGTCACCGACCGAGAGACCCGGGGTGGTCTTCATCATATACGACGTCGAGTACGGGTTAAAAATTCCAGAAAGTTAACACCAGGGACGTCGAGCATAAGTAATCAGCATCGACGTGGGTCGGTCTCCGGGTAATTCGATACGAAAGTTGCGGTCTCTGGTGACGCGGAAAAACCAGCCGTAATCTGATAGAGATAGACGAGAAGGTCGGGAGATCCGTCTCGCGATAGCGCGATTTTTGCCGATCTCGCATAGGATACGGTTTAATCTTTTTATAAAATGGAATTTATAAACGGGTTTGCTACATGTTCACGATTGGTGGGTACGTTAAATTGAAAATTAAAAATGCAAAACGTTGAAGTCGGTACATTGTACAAGTCAATCGAGAAAGGAACATATGAGGTCAACACATTTTGGATTTGAAGTTCGTGGTTTGATTTTTAAAAAATGCATTTATTAATGCATAAATTAATGCATTATATTGTTCTGAATATCATGGAATGCAGAAAACTTTCTTAAAAATTATTACCAATCGAGTATGCACCGTAGATAGAAGGCGGTTGTATTTTTACCAAATAATTATGCATTTAAGAAACCAAGGAAGAATCCAAAAATAAATACTCCAGTTGCCAAGAAATCCATATTATAGCGTCGGTGCAGGTATCTTCGCACGTATACTTACTTAATTCCTAAAGAAAAAATGGACTCTATTAACATGGTTGTACTATAATGCTAATATAAATAGCATTTATGGAAACCATATTATTATTTCTTTTTCGCAAAATTTTAAATTGCCATGGGGTCTCTCTCACACATCAGATATTACATTAATATTATTCATATACTGAAGAGGGTAGTACATATTCAATTATTAGATAGATGGAGAGATATTTAATCCATGACATTTCGTAAAAACTTGGTCTAGAATTTAAAAGAATAATAATTGGCACAAAGTCACTACATACATATATAATTGTTGAAATATTCACGTTAAAAAGAGCAGTCACGCACGCGGAGCAGAAAAACTTCAGCACTGTAGAAAGAGTATTCCACCAACAGTTTTTTACCTTTTTTAAAAAATTGTCCAGTGAAAGTATACTAGGAGGAACCTATTAAACAATTTCACAGCGGGAAAACTACTATCTGATCTGACAATTCCCCAGCCTATAGTAGGACAACATAAAATCACCGTTTCCAGGCGTGGGATATTGTAGCATGTCATTATGGGCAGTAAATCTCTGTTTGACCATACATAAACAACGCTCAAACCAACAAGAAGTGCCATTTTAATTTGGGATCAAAATACCCTCCCAAGAACTTCCGGGTCAACATTGCCTTGATCAATGAAGTTTCTCAAAGAAAAGACAAGTTTGTGAGTCTTATTACGTAATAGCCTGCACCCAATCCTGCTCAAAATCTATACTGACTCGCTGACACAAAATTTCCTTTCAAAATGCTCCATTGAAACCTTCAAGACAATACCAAAAATATTTTCTTTTAAAGAATGATTAATTAATTTAAGAATAGGAATATTAGTAGTTAGTAGAGTTATCTATCCCTCCCCCCAACATTATAAAATCGATTTTATCGCAAAAAGAGTGGAAAAGCGAGTGTGTTTTCATTCGCAATTTCAGGGCACAGAACGGCAAAGTGAAGGAATCATTTGATTAGCTTTTCAGACATTTTTTGCAATATTGATTGATTTTTTTTACGTCAATCAGTTCAAAACTATTCTGAGGACCCACGGTAATATTTTTATCGCAATTTCCGATATCGAGGCCCCCCATTTGCCCTTGGAAAACCGATTTTTTTACATTCAACTGAGATTTTAATCTTGCTCTCTAATAACGTAATAAGTTTTTTGGTTGAGAGCGTTCGAATACGGGGCGATATACCCAGCCACGTGCGAGACGCGTGGCCCGAACAGATTATTGCGCATTAAAATTTTAAACGATATCCACTCCACCCCCTATTGGACCCCATACGTGCGGCATAAACGCGCGAAATTATGAGATTTTTCTTTAAAAAGTAATAACGAGCTGGGTCTCCATTTTGTATACGACCGGCACGTGTCACTTTTCGAATTACGCGTTTTACGCTGTATAGTCTCCCAAAAAATAAGTGGAAATTAAATAACGTGATTATAAAGCGCATACTTTAAAAATTTTACAGCAAAAGTTCGAAAACGTTTTTTCTCCCTTTTTTGACCCGTTGCGTTTACAGTTTCATTTATTTTATGTTTTTTTCGTATTTGTCTTAGCAGATTTTATATTAGATTTATATCCATGCTATATTAAAAAAGATCTGCTTTTAATTATTTATGTTTTGGAGCAGCCGCGGTGTTTTATGGATTATTTAATTTACGTACATAACAAATTTTTTGTGCAGGTTATTGCTCACTTATTTTTATTTTATTTTTGGAAGGTTTTTGTAGCTTTTTTAGAAATAAATCCACAAGTTGTGAGATAAATACCGTTCCTATTTATTTTTTAATTTATTTTGGAACATTTTGAGCTATTTTTCTTATTCATTTCGTGGACAGATTTAAAGAGAAGGTGAATTTGTTCCACGCAATATATCCAAGAAAAAAAACAATTATAATAATTTATAAGGGTATGGGACATGAGTTTATGCTTTTATTTATTTATTGTTTTCTTTATTTTTTGTTAGTAGATTTTATTAAACTTATTGGATTGACAACCACGCTATATTAAAAAAAAATTACTTTTCTTAAGTTATTCGAAGTATTGGCAGGGTTTTGATTTTTTATTTATTTTATACTTCTTCATAATTTGTGTGGCAGATTTCAACAAATTTCTAATAAAACAGCGCACGAGGTGAGGAAAATATTTATAAAATCAATTCGATTTGACTTTATTTTCCTACAACGAGTTCCAATTCTCTAGTTTTTATTCCAACATCTCCTCAATCTGAACCGAACCCCGAACAACACTCAGTGTTGTCCGAGTTCAGCGTCAGCTTGTTCGAGCTGCGTGTGTCAAAGGCTGCATCGCACTGTAGAAGATACAATGAGGGGTGGAGGGCAGCAAACCGTAAACGCCGTATATAGACGCTGGAGGGTGCATAGATTTGCCGCTTGTTTGCCAAGGAAAGCGGAATACACCTCCTGTTGTCACGCCGGATTTTTTTCCCTTTCATCGGCTCGACCCAAAAATTAACGAGCATCGATTTTGTTCTTGTCGGCGCGTCGTATAATAAAATTTGCACTTCGCTGTTAGGGGTCCAACCTGCTCCGGCGGTTAATTTCTACAAATAATTGCCAATTGCACTTCGCAAAAAACAGTACCTTTCTAGATAGGATTTGATACCAACTGTTTAAATCCTCTCGATGATGCCGTTATGATTATTAGCTCAGTAGCTCCCGAATCTACTGAACTTAATTTGCTTGGGCAATCCCTCCATTTACCCATTTCAATGTATATTATAAACATTCAAGAATTCAACCTTGATAAGACCCAACACTTGACGATTTCGAGTAATTAAGCTGTTCTGAAGGGTAGTCCAGTTAAAGTACTTGGTTTGGTCATCAATGACAGATTAAATTGGTGAGAGCAAGTTGGTCAATTGAAACCAAAACTTAGTACCTATTCCTAAAGTTGGCTGCGATGTCACATTATGCAGTGTATATTGGGTATGGTCTGTTCATAGATATAAGAAAGTGACCAATTGCTTTTGAATGGGATTATCCAAGGGTGGTCATTAACATACAATGCAACAAGATTATTACCCAAAATTTCGGAATTTTAATTCAGGCAAAATTGTGGTCCGTAATAGAAAATAATTTTATACCTACCTATGTTTAGTATTCTTTGGTTTGGTATACTACTTAGTTTAAGTTTATTAGTAACCATTCTTATTTCGTGTGTAATACAGCGTGTGTTGAATCGTGTGCAAATTATGTGCGAGTCTAGTGTATCTCAGTAGATGCTCCCGCGCAAATGTAGAAAACACTATTCGATTGAGACTAAGGAAGTTATAAACAATGTTTATTTGACTCTCATTGAACGTGGTGCCAGCAAGCAAGCATCTTTAGAAGAAACGGCCACATTGACGAAGATTCCAACATCAACTGTATGGAAAATTGTGAATAATCCCATTTCAGCGAGGAAAAAAAGAAGCGATGCTGACATTTTCTCGAGTGTAGATGAAAGTGATCAAGATATAATACGTGCCTACATTAGATATCTTAATTAGGAGGATTGAAAAAGATGAAACCGGTGTTAAATGTGGCAGAACTACCTTATGGAAATGTATTCAACACATGGGTTTTAGATTTTAAAAAA